AGTAATAATTTGATTGTGATCTCATCCAATATTGAGGTTCAGTCCTACCTCTGATCAATGTCAACGAGGCACTATTTTTTAATATCATTATAAAGCAATTAGGCACTAAGTGATTGCCTGCCTATTTACATAGGCTATGTAATTTGAGACGACAAAATATAAATAGGTAATTATATTTACTTGTTTACTTTGCCTCGTGGATTACTCAGTATATTCACTGCTTATATAGAATAAGGACACAATTCACACTAGACTGTAAAAGATTAAGTACCGTTCTGCTTCCTAAAATTAAGATTATACTATTATACTAAATATAGAAATATTTACTTACTTTTATTGCTCCATACCTCTAAAATTGCTGAATACTTTACGATGAGGACCTAATTAACGATGCAGATAAAATGTAACTCAAAATCGTAAAGTTACAACCTTTTTTGATAACGTAAAGAAACCTTCAAAAGGCGTCAAGCTGTTTTGTGGATAAAAAACTAGGGTGTGGGATTCCTACTACTCACTAAAACTACCCCGATGGCTACCATCATCACCTATGGGAGGCACCGAGTCCTCTATAATAAAGCTGCTCCAGAACCCTCACGGCGAAGCGCCTGTAATGGCATATGCCAAGGGAGATGCATCTCCGTAGGTAACTGATAACGACGACATAATAAAATCCAACAGATCCAATAGTTCTATATCCAGACATTTAACAAACAATAGAGAACTTATAAAACTAGTTAAAAGTTACCATCTCAGTAACTTTAGTACACAAAAAGTTTAGCTATCAATAAATCCAGGTTACAATACTAAGGTAAGTAATACACATAGTTATATAACAGATTTATAACAAAACATTAATTAGTACGATTGTGGAATGTTTCCCATATTACGCAGATCTGTTTCCCACGGTGCCTGCGCCTGAGCAAGCGTGATCTAGATGCTCTTCGGCGATAGCAGTTAGTGTCAAACGTGCTTAGGTCACGCCAAATTTGTACTGTTGTACTTGTAATGTAAGTGAACTTCAAAATTCGCGAAGTGACTAGGTTTGGTATTGAAAAATGTCAAGTACTTCTTGTCACGACGTTCTGTAGTGATGTCTCTGTGTTGTTGTTTCTCGTGTGTTGTATTTGTCTGACTTATTTTGTTATTATTTGTCGTTGATTTTAATTTGAACAGTCATATCTTGATTCTTGAACTATTCAAGTACAAACAAATACATCTTATAATTTATCAGTCACCTACTTACCTACTCTTTTGTCCTTCGTCTCAATTAATTAAAATTAAACTTCAATGAAAATGTATTCATTTTATTACTGTTGTAGAAATAACTAGATCATAAAATCCAACAGATACAATAGTTCCATACTATAGGCATTTATCAAACAGTAGAATACTTGTTAACTAGATACTAACTTTATTAGACCTCTAAAATTCTAAACGGATAAACTTAAATGCAGCACCCATTCAATTAGGAGCTTAACTAATTTGCCGCTTGACAGTCGTTCAATCACTTTAATACAGAAAATAATTAATACGAACTAACCAAGGTTTGTTACTTTGTTCCCTTGCTTTACATTTTCTCAAACACACGTGTTACCGTGCCAAGGTTCCGTGGACAACTTTTAAGATTATGGTCAAGATCTGAACTAGATTTAGAAACTGATCGAATTACATAAAACTATGTGCGAAAATTACCTTTATTTAATGGGCATTAATGTGGTTATTCGATTAAAAAAATGTTTATTAAGTCATTAACTTAGAATTGTACAGGTTTGTGGATGAGGTAATTGGTTTCTCCATCATTTTTAATGTAGGTAACATTGAAAATTACAAGAAATGTTGGTATGAGTTTTGAAATGACTTGAAACGAATCGGACATCCTCGATTAATTTACGTGAGTAGACCGTAAACATCATTCCAAAAGAAGTAATTTTTCATCTTCGTTATCTCACTTAACATAATATTGTCTATAATACTACATCGTACCTGCAATCTGCAGTCATTGTTAGTGACTACACACTACCCAGCTGTAAATGATAGTTTCTCTTATCTAAACAATGAGTAAGTATAGTTAACTATAAAAAATAAGTTCCTCTGAACTTAATTGAAAGTTATTGTTTATCTCTATAAACAATAACTTTTTAATAAATAATAGTAATAATAACGTGTGTAACACAAAATGAAGCAGACTATCCAAGCAATGAACTTTGTCGAAGGCCTTACTAAAGTCCAAGAATACGTAAAGACTTTTGAAAATAATATTTATCAAACTGATGATCTAAGATAGCACCGTGATCTGCGGATAATAATTAAATATTATGTATATCAACGTATGCGCATTTCGATTAAGATATTCAAAAATATGTAACTAGATTACTAGCATAAAAACATTTAGATTGATTTATACTTAATATTTGTAAATTCGCTTCGATCAACAACGTTTCTGACATTTAATTGATTTCGTTATTCACTTAAGTATCGATTAGATCTGAACATTAAGCGAAACCATTAAGAATAAATAGTTTTCTCACGTTTTTGTACCTATTTAGAAATCTTTATTTTGAGGGACAGCTATTGGACTGGGTGCTACGGCAATTTGTTCATTAGTAAATAATGTAGGTGATGTTGCCACCCGTTATTATTCCTATTTCTCACGTAGACCACTACCTATTTTCTTCAGCTTTTCTTTATAACTTTGAACCTGATTCAATTCTATAAGTATTTCTTCTTGAGATCTCATCAACGTTAAACGCAATAAATCCCACTAAATCGATAAGACCAACAAGCTCTAATTCACAAATAACGCAATTTAAACATGATTATAATATATGATATACGAATTCCTTCGTGTTTTACTCTTTTTATTTCACTTTGGTTTACGAGTATATTGTTTGAACGAATACAACTGCACCTGTTTTAAGTTTAAATCCACCTTCATCTCTTTATCTACCACGACCACACACAGAATCAGTATCAATATAATTTTACTGATCGTTATTATGAGAGACAATAAATAAAATGTTAACTTTATTAACCAAATTTGCAATTCTGTAATGATTTGAGTCATCTACCTCGCCTTATACGTACGATATTATAGCAACATTCTTTTGTACTGACGGTGCATGGCTTTTATTATATTAAAATACGGAACTATCATTGGTCTTTTGATTTTGTATCTGAGGTGTCGCACGAAGTTTGAATTCATGACTCTCATTATTATGTCAAGATATTATATCACTGTACGTTTTTATTCGTTCTTCTCAAGAAGGGGAAACCTTTAAAAGTTGCCAATTTTTTGTAGAGCAAAATTAAGGATTGAGAAATTCCTAAAATTGTCACACTAAAACAAGCCTCGGGATTGCTATCAACTCCAGAGTCAACTGTGCAATGCCCAACATATCCATAGAGACTTAGGTCTCCCATGAATCTGGTTCTGCATGGTTATCATTACCTACTTTACCTTATGTTTCTCTAACTTAAAAAATCCAAAAGGTGGAACGATCAATGATATTTTAAGACTTTGTAAATATGAACGGATTCAAAACCCATAATTTATGAGACGCCACTCAAGCTCTAGTTCTGTCAATAAAGTCAATATTTGCTTACCATCCGTCAATTAAATTTGATTAAAAGCAAACAATAGCGGACGCAAAGGAATTCATTGTTGTAAACTTAAATGTGCAGTAAACTGTATATCAATATAAATGTTCTATTTAATCCCAAATGTTAAGTGAAGGGACGTCTAATCCCAATAAATCACTAAAGTGCTTAGCATTGCGTTATTTTGTTACCTCGAAATATTGAGCAGCAAGATCAGTTTGACTGTTGATTTTAATTAGGATTGGTCTGAAGTTAATAAAATCTGTGTTTTAATGGTATTTGTTCATCTGTTGTAATAATTATTCCTTTTTAAACCTTCTAACGTAGTACCAATGCCATAACGATATAGACTTATGATTCATGTTGTACATATTGATCTCGTTGATATCGTAAATGTTATTCTGTTTTCGGTTTACTCACATAATAATTTGACGAGGAACTCGACTAGTTTCGCGTCGCAGATCGCGAAATGCTGCTCTTGAATATGAGCCTCTAGCATGGCTTGAAACACATTTACGATATCAACGAGATCAATATTAAGCCAAAAACATCGTAATTTATTTAGTATGCCTCACGAAAGTTACAATACAAATATCATAAATGGTGATAAATGAGCTATCTTTTCACATCATCTCATCTAGAACTACTTAGTCAACATATTAGGAGGTCTTATAAAGGAACTAGTAAGTGTATAATGAAACCAAGAAACATTTCAAGTAAAACAAAGCCTAGCTACTTCTAATTTGATTCGATCATGAGTAATTATAAATTGTTGCATGATCTCGAAATGTTTGGGTTTCCCCAGTTTCAATTCGAAAATCGTCTCCATCAGACAGAATCACGATTCGCCTTTCAAATCGATGACATTTGTTAAGTGGCAAGGATATCACGAATATAGGGGGGAAATCCAGTCGTAAAATATAACGACAATGCACGATATATGGTTCAGTTTCGACATACAAAACGACGGTTTTATGCCCGTCCAATTAGTCAGAAAACAGATTATGCCTACCAAATCTTTATTTGTTTGTTCATATTAAAAGTACTTGGATTAAAGTTTAGGGGAATTTATTATACGTACCTAAAGTATCTCGTAAAATTTTATTTTATTTATGTTCTAGAAAGGATTGACGCAATTTATAGGAAAGGGGATGCACCTATATACATTCTAAATGACCATATCATAATCACTGAAAAGTTAGCAATCTAAAAAGGAATTCTTTGTTTAACCCTGTATTTGTTTTGATGCATTCAATGAATTAGAGATTCTAATGTAATATTAGACAATTGTCTAATTCACTAATAGTCTACTATCAAACGTCATTTCCACTTATTTATTTATACTTACTTAGGAACGACTACTGAGTAAAATAGCGCAATAACAAAAACATTTTTTGTTTCAGATAAACATACGGTGGAAGAGTACAGCAGTGAATTATGTCAGTGTGTTGTTTTTACAATGACAAGATAGTAGTGTTAACAATCAAATCGTTCACGTGATGCCAACACGTTATTTATGACTGGGACCGTTGGTTTAGTGAGTTGACATTTCGCTTCAATGCCGCGTGTGTAGGCAATGGCTTTGACAAATTTCACGCTCACAGGCGTCGGCGCGGCGACGCCGGCATTCGTATCGACCACCACATCATCACCCCTGCGAGTCGGACTCGACGACTTATTATATTCACCCGATGAATACCAACAAGACGTCCCAGCACAACCATCAGAAAATGAACCATTCATTCCACCAAATCAGCGTCGGCCAAAAGTCAGAAAACGTGCCGGCACTGCCTACCTACCACCAGCCAATCAGTATATGCATTACCAGAATGAGGCTCAACAAAATCCTTATGCAGCACCCCTGCATACCCAGGTTTATCCACAAAACTCAAGACTAAACGTGCAGATAGAAAACCAGCGGGTAAAAGAAGTGAATTCACCGTATGATGTATCAGGGCAATATGATAATACAGGACAGTATGTCCATGATCCTACGGGTGACTATGATTATGAACAGAAAAGAATGAATCAGCGCCCGTCTGGGCAGCCGTACAACCCTGGGTATGCGGATGCGCCATATCCACCGGCAATGAAGCCTAACCCCACATCTAGTCGGAGGTTCGATGAAAATTCGAATCAAAATATGAATCAAAATGTGAATAATTTCAATTTTAACAGGCCGCTTAGTAGTACGCCTGCCCCAACTAGGCCGCCCAGTAATCAGGGTAGCAAGACTGGTGGTAGTGAGACTGGACAAAATCCTCCGGAGAGACCGCGAGGGTTTACTAAAGTAGAAACTGGTGGTTCAGGTGGCAAGACACAGCTACATGCAGTTCTTGATTATGACGACGAAGATTACTATGACGATCCTGATCCAGGTAAGATGATTATTTTAATTTCAAGTATTTTTATGGGAACTGTAACTATAACTCTAAAACGAGAAATCTTGTCGTCATTGGATCATAATTCATAACACTACTGTCATGGATATCTACCTATTCTGAGTTATATGTACATATACACATGAATTTCAAACTTAATTTTGTCATTGTTCAGCTGCTATTAAACTTTAAGAAAATTAACATAAACGTAATCTACATAATTCAACCTTGATTACGGTTGAATCCTTAACCTTGATTTAACTCTAGCTTTTGTTTAATCGACGATGTCGGAAATCCTTGCGGTTCTATATTGTCAACAGTCAAGCAATTGTCAAACAAATAAATGTCCGTTTGTTGATGACCGCTTCTTTTGCCACCTAAATGTTTGTCAGCAATCATTTAATCAAGAAAATAGGCTTGGAATAAAATGCAAATTATGTTTGAAAATAGTCTCGAGACATCACAATCTTGACCTTCGTAAAATTAGTCTACTGCTATGTCTGTTGTAGTAGTTTTGAATAACAAAATGCGTAAAGTTTAAAGTTCAAAATGTTTTAACCCTTGACTACAAAAGTTCCAGTTACCTTTGGCATCCCATTTCATAGATATCATACATATGAACGATATTAATATTAGGCGTGATGTTATGTTATGTAATATTTATACTGCTATGGATAGTCGCAGTTAGGTAAATATGAAAACATCACAACCAGTAAATGAAAATAGGATCCAATTTTAGACTTCAAAAACTTTGACAACAGCAGATGAAACAATACAAATAGTAATAAATACTGAAGAAAGTACAGACATATGAGAAGTTAGTGTCACAATCCAAATGCAAACTTTGGACACAAGTTTCTAAGTTGACATTCCTATGAGTCCTTTACAAGTAGCAGACAATGTTGACCAATCCAATACACACTTATCTACATGTCTGCAATCGTCTGACAAGTATGTATGTATAGGTCGAAGTAATTGGAGTATCTACGTACTAGCTAACACGTTTCACTTATCTAAGTCAAAGACCTTCGATCGTTTAACCGGTCCCCAATGCCATGCATACAATGGACAGGCGACTGCAGTACAATGCTTACCATTGTCAGCTTCAGGCTATTTCATTTCCTTATTATCAAGTGAATGTGGTTGTTTAACAAGATACTTATAAGTATTTATTTGTTTGATTGCTATAATGTTAGAAGATTCTGCAGTTCCTGTTGATCCTTTTTCTTCTTCTCGTTCTTCTAAATACCTACTTGTGTTTTGTCGTAGTTTATTTAGGAAACTTTTTATTGTGATTTTTTTTTGCAATCCTTTTTCGTTTTGTGTACATGTGAAGCGTTTTTGTTTTCCTATCTTACACATAAAGTTTTGGTTTTCGAATCCCAAATAAAAAATATAATTATGTGCCTTTCATAATATCCCACTTTAATTTAAATTTAATCTGATCTTTTAACATTACTTTCCACTGCAAGGAAAATAGTTTTTAAGTCTTTTTTATGGAATAAATAAGCCGATGAACGAGCAGACGGATCACTTGAAGGTAAGCAATCGGCGCCGCCCACCATCCAAAACACCAGAGGTGTTAGATGTGTATTACCGGCCTTTAGGGGAATAGAAATTTAAGGATTGTTGGGGATTCATGGATTGGGGGATTGGGGAGAGGGGTAATTGGAACTCCTGTAACCTCACCAACACGACGAAACACAATGCAAGCGTTGTTTCCCGACGGTTTTCTGTGAGGCCGTGGTATCACTCCGGCCGAGTCGGACCATTCGTGTCGAAGCATGGCTCTCCCACACTTAACCAGTCCTATAATGTTAGCTTAATTTACTATAGCTTTGGTAGGTTTTCTGCACTGACTGTATAATAATTATAACTACAACTTAAGGGAAACTTGCTTAGATGTTGTTAACCTAAATTATATTGCTTTTATGTAAACTACGTTTAAAAAACCGACTTCAACAACCCCCTTTTTTTAAGTCGGTTAATTAATCTACCAAAACCGCATCAAAATTGGTTTAACCAAACACGAAATAGTCTCCGAACTGAGAACCTCTTTTTTTCATTTTGAAGTCCGTTAAAAAATGCTTCATTATCGAAATGGAGTCTATTATAAAAATTAAGCCTACCATTTAAGTCTCCTAACGACAAGTTTCCATAAAAGCAATGTAATATGGATCATAACATTACCCATTTTCGTAGAAAACGTGATGTGATGTAATAATAAAGATAATCTTAATTTACAATACATTGCAATGTCAAGGTAATCGAACAATAAGATTACTGACATAACAGAACATCACGCCTATTATCTCCGAAGTGGTAGGCAAAGGTGCACATTACGGCACTTAATGCCACTGCACAATGTAACACCCAATTTTTTACTATTTATATTAGGTATCCCATGTAATAAGGGTAAGCCTATTGCCATATACCGGGCACAATTCCAGACTACGTGAAGCTACTGAGACTGCACTTGCGACCTCGTCGATCAACGAGGCAGTCATCCTCGTCAAAAGTTTACCGAATAAGATGAAAATATTACTTACTTATTGTTCAAGGTTTTTAGTTTTGCTATTACAGATACTAATTTTCAGGTAGGTAGGTTTAGCTACTAATCTTAATAAGGTACTTCAATAAAGTCAAAAAAAAAAAACAAAAAATAAAGATAAATGCAAAATGAATATAATAAAAGTCATGATTACACATTTAAATTATGCAACAACGGAATAACTTACTTTGAATCAAATTGTAAGTTAACAAGACAGTAAGTAAGATCTTATACATAGTAACATGAGGCATTATTTCACTTGTAGCATTCTCTCTTTCTGGCTGAAGCCACGTCCGTCATTTGTTCATGCCGGCGCTAGACATGTGCGTACTTGTTTGTTCAAATTTGTGTGGCACGGATATTTGATGCTAGGTACTTTTTCCAAGCCAAACAATGTGAACACTTATGAACAAATAACTGTGAACAAACATGTTCGCACTTGTCTGATGCCAGCATAAGAAACAAGCTGACTAGAGCTCTTAGAACACCTTCTTTACCAATGCCCGTCTTCAGCTCCAGGTGCGGTCTCAGTGATGTCAAAGTTCGTTCTATTCGGGTCGCCCGCGAGGTATGAGGGCGCCCTGAATACCCTCTTGTTGTTGATCACGTAGTTCGCCCCAGTCGACACATCGATGAACTCCCAAGGGTGTGTCAAGTACGAGGTTACGTCGTAGGAAGCGCCTGGCACCAACCGCTGATAAAATACTTTCTTCCCTTCAAAGTTACGCCACCATACATCCAACTGATGTGATGTGCGATTTGTAAAGCGAAGATTCACTTGATGATCTGAATTTAATGATTTCACGAGGACATTCTGCCCGTTGCCATTAACTTCGTATAAAAACTCTCCGCGTGTAGTCATTGTTATTACGACGTCGAAAATTCACCGCCAATTAAATTTAATTGAAAATAGAGTGTGCACCACAAGGTTGAAATTTTCGAGAAAAACGAGAACTGTCAATGTAGTGTTACTGCCTGGAGTACGCTGGGAAGTAGTGGAGGGTTGCTGATCGTTGTCGATTTTATAGCCAAAAAAACAACGAAATGCAACCGTTTTCGTCGCCACAAAAACTAGTTCCTGAAACAGTTCTCGTTGCATGTGTGCTTGTATAGGCACTGTTTGGATACCTAGATATACATAGATTAGGTATACCTAGCTACCTACTTGTGATGTTATCACGTGTGGTTTGTGTTTAGATAGTGTAGGTATCAAGTACCTACAGGAAACCAAATGACCACAGATTGATAAGTAATTGCTTCTACCACAGTCTGCATATACTTCAAATCAATTAGGCATTTACTCTAACACAATACCATATGGAGGGGAAGTACCAACCTGAATACTGAAATTGAAATTATACTGCTTCGTTAGCCGAGTGGTCGCAAGTGCGACTGCTGGGCAAGGGGTCTCTGGTTCGATTCCCGAGTCGGGCAAAGTATTATTGGATTTTTTTTAAATTCTCAGTGTTAGCACGGACTCTGAAATTGTGTCCGGTATATAACAATATGCTCACCCCTTATTACATGGGACTCATAACATAAATAGTGTTTTGCAGTTTACTTTCAGTGCTCCCACAGTAGCTTGGCTCTTGACGTCGCCCTATTATTCCTTCTTTTTTATAAATTTTATTAGAGTCGTAGTTATGCTAATGATGGATACATTGGGGTTGCCATGTCCTATAGCTAGGATAAAAACTCCGTCCAAAATAAAATGTTTAAAAAAATCATAAATAGTGTAAAGTGGGTGTTACATTGTACAGTGGCATTAACTGCCGTAATGTGTACATTAGGAATAGGTAGAGGTGTACCTCTACCTATTTCTTCGGGGATAATATCCTATATTGATATTATACCGAATTTTATTGTCAAAAAATTATTCGACCTCACGTACTAACTCCACTTCTTAAAAGCGCGAGTGATATATAACACGATAATTTGGTCTGACTTATTCCTTTCACTTTTGTAATTTTGCCCTTTATTTTCCTTAAGATTGGATAAGGAAAATTTACATTCTAAAGAAGCAGGCTAACAAGTGTTCTCGATTTATTTGACACAAATTTGTAAATCGTATACCGGGCACAATTCCAGACTCCATGCTACTAATCAGGTTTTTTTAAAAAAACATGACACTCATAACATGTATAGTGTAAAGTAATAAAAGGTGTGATGTTATGTAATTTGTAAATGTTTGTAAGTTAAGTTTGCATCCTAAACAAAAATCCAGAGCCATGCTTCGGCACGAATGGGCCGGTTCGACCGGAGTGATACCACGGCCTCATAGAAAACCGACGTGAAGTAACGCTTGCGTTGTGTTTCGTCGTGTGATTGAGGTTACCGGAGGCCCAATTACCGTCCCCTTCCCTAATCTCCCCAAATCCTGAATCCCCAACGATCTTCAAACTCCATATTTCCCAAAAGACCGGTAACGGACTTGTAACGCCTCTGG